AAGTGTTAACAAATTTGTTAACACTTTAATATTTCTATGGCATTATCCATAAAATATTTGTGTTTAATAGAGTATACTTGCACACGTATACAGATACACGTAATATGAATGTTATTTATAGGCCATACTGTATATTTAGTGAACGCACATGCAAATGCACTTACGTCCAAATAATTGACTGCAAATAAGGAAAGATCCTTCGCAGCTGGTATTTCCTAAGAGGAACGGTACTTTAACTCCGCGGCGCATTAACGTATTTGGATGCTCCGGAAAGAATGGATTCGGTGATTCGTAATCTAAAGTGGGTGTAAATACTATAAGATATTGTAGACGATCCTGCAAAAGCGTATATTACGAATGAAAATTTCATACAATATTTCATATCGCACTTATATCATTGAAATACACAATCTAACAAGACATTGAGGTGCTTACTACTTTCGTGGTAAGGGACTTCTGTGTAGTTTCTACGAGTTTTTTCGCGTCGATTGTTTTAAGAAATTCGTAGGCGACTTTCGGATCTGTTGTCGGCCTTCCAAGTTGTTTGGCAAGTTGGAAACCTCTGCTTTCCGCTTGGTTTGTCCATTCAGTTAAAGCCCAAGGATTTGTTGCAACGCCGCTTTGCGATATCGCTTTGTGAAATAAACCTGTACAGTGCAGTCGAATTTAGTTTAATATTCTAATTAATTGTCATAAAATCTTTTTTTTAGTTCCTTTAATTTGATAATACAGAGGCTATCCTATAGAATTCATTTAATTTTTTTAATCACTATTTTTTTTATTACTTTGAAATCGAAAATATCTCAGGAGAAATTATTAGTTATTGCCTACAACTTTTTTAAATACCAATATTATACATAAGTATTTATTTAAATTTAAATTTCAAAAAGTAAATAGCAATTTTTCAAAATCATATTTTACTTGAGATTGAGTTCTATAACAATGAATTTGTTATCTCTACTGTGCAGTTGAGAGAGAGAGAGAGAGAGAGAGAGAGAGAGAGAGAGAGAGAGAGAGAGAGAGAGAAAAGAAACTTGGTAAACAGCTTATATCTTTTATCTTGGCAGTGCTCGAGTATTTTTTTTTTTATAGCAAAGATCAAGTTCAAAACAGCCAATAAATCTTTGAATATTAAATGAGATAAAATTTGCTGATTTTAC